CCCATTCCCCCACGCGCGTCCCCTCACCCATTCCCCCACGCGCGTCCCCTCACCCATTCCCCCACGCGCGTCCCCTCACCCATTCCCCCACGCGCGTCCCCTCACCCATTCCCCCACGCGCGTCCCCTCACCCATTCCCCCACGCGCGTCCCCTCACCCATTCCCCCACGCGCGTCCCCTCACCCATTCCCCCACGCGCGTCCCCTCACCCATTCCCCCACGCGCGTCCCCTCACCCATTCCCCCACGCGCGTCCCCTCACCCATTCCCCCACGCGCGTCCCCTCACCCATTCCCCCACGCGCGTCCCCTCACCCATTCCCCCACGCGCGTCCCCTCACCCATTCCCCCACGCGCGTCCCCTCACCCATTCCCCCACGCGCGTCCCCTCACCCATTCCCCCACGCGCGTCCCCTCACCCATTCCCCCACGCGCGTCCCCTCACCCATTCCCCCACGCGCGTCCCCTCACCCATTCCCCCACGCGCGTCCCCTCACCCATTCCCCCACGCGCGTCCCCTCACCCATTCCCCCACGCGCGTCCCCTCACCCATTCCCCCACGCGCGTCCCCTCACCCATTCCCCCACGCGCGTCCCCTCACCCATTCCCCCACGCGCGTCCCCTCACCCATTCCCCCACGCGCGTCCCCTCACCCATTCCCCCACGCGCGTCCCCTCACCCATTCCCCCACGCGCGTCCCCTCACCCATTCCCCCACGCGCGTCCCCTCACCCATTCCCCCACGCGCGTCCCCTCACCCATTCCCCCACGCGCGTCCCCTCACCCATTCCCCCACGCGCGTCCCCTCACCCATTCCCCCACGCGCGTCCCCTCACCCATTCCCCCACGCGCGTCCCCTCACCCATTCCCCCACGCGCGTCCCCTCACCCATTCCCCCACGCGCGTCCCCTCACCCATTCCCCCACGCGCGTCCCCTCACCCATTCCCCCACGCGCGTCCCCTCACCCATTCCCCCACGCGCGTCCCCTCACCCATTCCCCCACGCGCGTCCCCTCACCCATTCCCCCACGCGCGTCCCCTCACCCATTCCCCCACGCGCGTCCCCTCACCCATTCCCCCACGCGCGTCCCCTCACCCATTCCCCCACGCGCGTCCCCTCACCCATTCCCCCACGCGCGTCCCCTCACCCATTCCCCCACGCGCGTCCCCTCACCCATTCCCCCACGCGCGTCCCCTCACCCATTCCCCCACGCGCGTCCCCTCACCCATTCCCCCACGCGCGTCCCCTCACCCATTCCCCCACGCGCGTCCCCTCACCCATTCCCCCACGCGCGTCCCCTCACCCATTCCCCCACGCGCGTCCCCTCACCCATTCCCCCACGCGCGTCCCCTCACCCATTCCCCCACGCGCGTCCCCTCACCCATTCCCCCACGCGCGTCCCCTCACCCATTCCCCCACGCGCGTCCCCTCACCCATTCCCCCACGCGCGTCCCCTCACCCATTCCCCCACGCGCGTCCCCTCACCCATTCCCCCACGCGCGTCCCCTCACCCATTCCCCCACGCGCGTCCCCTCACCCATTCCCCCACGCGCGTCCCCTCACCCATTCCCCCACGCGCGTCCCCTCACCCATTCCCCCACGCGCGTCCCCTCACCCATTCCCCCACGCGCGTCCCCTCACCCATTCCCCCACGCGCGTCCCCTCACCCATTCCCCCACGCGCGTCCCCTCACCCATTCCCCCACGCGCGTCCCCTCACCCATTCCCCCACGCGCGTCCCCTCACCCATTCCCCCACGCGCGTCCCCTCACCCATTCCCCCACGCGCGTCCCCTCACCCATTCCCCCACGCGCGTCCCCTCACCCATTCCCCCACGCGCGTCCCCTCACCCATTCCCCCACGCGCGTCCCCTCACCCATTCCCCCACGCGCGTCCCCTCACCCATTCCCCCACGCGCGTCCCCTCACCCATTCCCCCACGCGCGTCCCCTCACCCATTCCCCCACGCGCGTCCCCTCACCCATTCCCCCACGCGCGTCCCCTCACCCATTCCCCCACGCGCGTCCCCTCACCCATTCCCCCACGCGCGTCCCCTCACCCATTCCCCCACGCGCGTCCCCTCACCCATTTCCCCACGCGCGTCCCCTCACCCATTCCCCACGCGCGTCCCCTCACCCATTCCCCCATGCGCGTCCCCTCACCCATTCCCCATGCGCGTCCCCTCACCCATTCCCCATGCGTGTCCCCTCACCCATTCCCCATGCGTGTCCCCTCACCCCATTCCCCATGCGTGTCCCCTCACCCCATTCCCCATGCGTGTCCCCTCACCCCATTCCCCATGCGTGTCCCCTCACCCCATTCCCCATGCGTGTCCCCCTCTCCTGTGCCATACATGCTCCCTCACCAACGTAACACGACAAATTGCTTGGACACAAATATTCACTTATATATTAGCATAGGTATTATACCCTGCATGCCGGCGCGCGCACACGGGGAGGGGGGGTGCCTCGTAGCTGAGTAGATATGGCTGGATGGGGGGGTCGTAGTCCTAAGGGCCCGGGTTCGATTCCCGGCAGAGGCAGAAACAAACGGGTAGTTTCTTTTACCCCGATTCCCGAGTTCACCTAGTAATAAATAGGTACCTCAGAGTTAGACAGCTGCTACGAGCCGCTTCCTGGGGATGTATGTACTTATGTGCGCGCGCCTGTTAGTGAATTATATGTAGTAGACATAATAGAACAAAATATTGGTTAGAAAGGCGGGGTCCAAGAACTAATAGCTCGATTCGGCATGCACAAATAGTAACAGGCATTCACTCACTCATGCACGTTTATCATGTTTTTCCCACTCACTTGACTCATTTCTATTAGTCCCCTTCCTTATGGGTCCCCATTAAGTTTCCATTGATACCCTTCATTCCCCCCTTTTATCTTTGTTCTGAAGCCGTCATTGTTTTTCCTCATACTGGATAACGAACCCCCAGGCTTTTACCCTAGCGCTGTTTGCACGGGTTTTGTTTATTGCAGCTTTGTTTACACCAGCTGTATTTACACCAAACTAAACACCACTCTGTTACCATACACCAGCTGTGTTGGGTGTATGAATGAAAATTTCCGTTGTTAGTTTTAACTGTTTCACCTGTTGTATTCCCTCTGGTTTTTGTCTTTGATCATCCCGAGGGCTGTTCCATCCTGCCCGTCATCCCGAGGGCTGTTCCATCCTGCCCGTCATCCCGAGGGCTGTTCCATCCTGCCCGTCATCCCGAGGGCTGTTCCATCCTGCCCGTCATCCCGAGGGCTGTTCCATCCTGCCCGTCATCCCGAGGGCTGTTCCATCCTGCCCGTCATCCCGAGGGCTGTTCCATCCTGCCCGTCATCCCGAGGGCTGTTCCATCCTGCCCGTCATCCCGAGGGCTGTTCCATCCTGCCCGTCATCCCGAGGGCTGTTCCATCCTGCCCGTCATCCCGAGGGCTGTTCCATCCTGCCCGTCATCCCGAGGGCTGTTCCATCCTGCCCGTCATCCCGAGGGCTGTTCCATCCTGCCCGTCATCCCGAGGGCTGTTCCATCCTGCCCGTCATCCCGAGGGCTGTTCCATCCTGCCCGTCATCCCGAGGGCTGTTCCATCCTGCCCGTCATCCCGAGGGCTGTTCCATCCTGCCCGTCATCCCGAGGGCTGTTCCATCCTGCCCGTCATCCCGAGGGCTGTTCCATCCTGCCCGTCATCCCGAGGGCTGTTCCATCCTGCCCGTCATCCCGAGGGCTGTTCCATCCTGCCCGTCATCCCGAGGGCTGTTCCATCCTGCCCGTCATCCCGAGGGCTGTTCCATCCTGCCCGTCATCCCGAGGGCTGTTCCATCCTGCCCGTCATCCCGAGGGCTGTTCCATCCTGCCCGTCATCCCGAGGGCTGTTCCATCCTGCCCGTCATCCCGAGGGCTGTTCCATCCTGCCCGTCATCCCGAGGGCTGTTCCATCCTGCCCGTCATCCCGAGGGCTGTTCCATCCTGCCCGTCATCCCGAGGGCTGTTCCATCCTGCCCGTCATCCCGAGGGCTGTTCCATCCTGCCCGTCATCCCGAGGGCTGTTCCATCCTGCCCGTCATCCCGAGGGCTGTTCCATCCTGCCCGTCATCCCGAGGGCTGTTCCATCCTGCCCGTCATCCCGAGGGCTGTTCCATCCTGCCCGTCATCCCGAGGGCTGTTCCATCCTGCCCGTCATCCCGAGGGCTGTTCCATCCTGCCCGTCATCCCGAGGGCTGTTCCATCCTGCCCGTCATCCCGAGGGCTGTTCCATCCTGCCCGTCATCCCGAGGGCTGTTCCATCCTGCCCGTCATCCCGAGGGCTGTTCCATCCTGTCTGTGATCCTGACGATGGTTCCCTGCTCTCTATTTCCTCTGATCATCCTTTCATCGTTGCTTCAATATAAAGATAATCTTTTTTGGCACATTGCTCGTTCAGTCAGGTTAAGCACCGTTTCTCTTAACTAGTAACTGAATGGGTTATGGGATGGCACTACCTCGTCCTTAGTTATGGGAACCGTTACAGAACACGCGTCCATGGTTCCTATCCTCGACAGGATATAGTTTGCAATCGCTTTGCTCCTGTTCAGTAATGGAAGGCTAGAATTTCTCCTGATCGTTTTTCTCCTTGTATTTCTCAGTCTGTAAGCGCCGGAGATTGATTTTATGGTTATTAGCGCGCTTGTGATGGCTTCGTTCCTGGTCCTTGGTGTTGGGGGGGGGGGGGGGAGGCAGTATAGGCTCTCTCCCTTTTCTTCCCTCCCACATTCTCTTTCCACCTCTCTTCCTCATCCTTTCTAACACCCCCCTCCGCCTGAACCCCCCTCTGTGTGTCTGTCTGTTTTTCTTTCTCCCCCCCCCCCCAAACGTTTTTGAGTAAGTTTAATTATTAATATTATAATAGTAAAAGTAGTTGTAGCAGTAATTCTTAGAAGTTCATATTACTTTTTCATATTAAAATTTTTGTAGTTGTAATTTTGTACTTCTATATCTCGGTGTTGTCATTGTTATGGCGCGTGTTGCAGATCGTAGCAGCTGGTGGTTCTTGGGGCTGGTGATGGTGGGCAAGTTCTTCATCACGTCGGCCTACCAGGTGATCTACCTCTACTCCTGCGAGCTCTACCCGACCTCTCTTAGGACCCGAGGCCTGGGCGTCTCCTCGATGATAGGACGTGTCGGCTCCATCATCTCTCCCTTCATCAATGACTTGTTGGTGAGTGGCAGTTTAATGGTGCTTGCTTTATTGCGTTTTCTGCGAGATTTAGTTCTTGGGCTCCGCTTCTATGGTAGTTTATACCTGGGGTATTTATAATTCCAGGAGGTTTTAGTAATTATGGGTTTATTCAAAATATATCACCCTTGGTTGATTCTTCAGTCACTTCGGTCGTTGGAAGGGTTACTTTTTGTCTTATAGAAGGACGCCCATGCGGCTAGTTTGTCTAGACCTCGATTGTACTTGCTATTGAAACTTAGAATGGAGGTGGCTTCCACGACCTCTGGTTACCACACACATACACACCACATACGAGTACTTGCATTGCTTTAATTTTATATGAATTAAAATATAATTAATTTTAATTAAAATTCTTTTCTTTCAATTATTTTCACTTGTCTAGAAAAGACTGTGTCCATCGCTCTTATTACTCACAATATATTGTATGTTGTGATCATATCTAATCTGGTCCATCTAGATTTTGGTGTCGTCAGGTTGAGGTCCGTTAATCTGTCCCGTTTCTCGGCTCTTGATCTCTGATGCCAGTAAGGCAACGGATCTGTTATGCTTCACAAAGTGGGTATTTGATGGTAGTTGCTATGTATTGACAAAGTGCTGTATACTATGTATAATGTTTCTGAATGAGCCCCTAATTTGGTTTGTAAATGCCATCCGTTTCATCGCCTCTTTCGCATACAGTATTGATGATTTTGGTTGAAAGTGCCTCTGGTGTTAAAGTTGTACTCGCTTAAATATTCCTCTTGTGTCTTTCTTTCTTATAGAGGTCTTCGTGTGGCATAGTTTCCTAGATTTCATTACATTACATTACATTTCTAGAATTGAACTCGAATAGCCCTTTGCCGAGTCCTGATGTTCTCATCTGTTTCGCAAAGTCTGTACACTTAAATGTTCTACTATTTATGTTCTTGCTGGGTCAGGCATCAGCTTCCAAGCCCCACCTTTCAAACGATTAGTAGTTTACTGCGACAACTCTATTCTTTTGTATGTCTCGTCACTTTTACCTTTCCAATTTTTATGTTTTGAGTCGGCTAATATCTTCTTTATCAGACCTAACTTTATTTCATTCTTCTTTCCGCCTCCTGCTGCTACTTCTCCTCTTCGTCCACTTCCCCACTACCACCTTATCTAGCTGCTGCTTTTCCTCCTCCTTCACATCTTCCTACTGCTCCTCCGCCTCCTCCTTTCTCCTTCTCTACCTCTTTCCCTTCCACTAGGTAAGCACCACCACCACCAGCAGTACTGTTGGGCGAGCACCACCACCACTATGAAAGCACTGTTAGGTAAGCACCACTATCACCACTAGGTAAGCACCTCCTCTACCTAACATCCCCGGCCCAATCACAATGACTCTGGCAATGGAGAGTTGAAGTCTCCCAACTATTTAAGTAATATTGAGCCAATGACTAGAAAACGACTCCAGAGAGGGCTGGAACGTGTATTTTCTTCTCGACATTTATGTAGTCAGAACTTGTCTTTAAGGAGTTAACATTCCTTCTGCATTTTATACTAATTCTTGTATCCATTTTTTTAGATTTATTATCTCTATAAATCACATTTATCAATTTTATGTTTTAGGATTTGAGCTTGCGTAAGTATATTCTTATGCAAGCATATTCTTATATATTCTTATGCAAGCATATTCTTATTCTTATGCAAGCATATTCTTATATATTCTTATGCAAGCATATTCTTATATATATTCTTACGCAAGCATATTCTTATATATTCTTACGCAAGCATATTCTTATATATTCTTACGCAAGCATATTCTTATATATATTCTTACGCAAGCATATTCTTATATATTCTTACGCAAGCATATTCTTATATATATTCTTACGCAAGCATATTCTTATATTCTTATGCAAGCATATTCTTATATTATTACGCAAGCATATTCTTATATATATTTTCTTACGCAAGCATATTCTTATATATTCTTACGCAAGCATATTCTTATATATTTTCTTACGCAAGCATATTCTTATATATTTTCTTACGCAAGCATATTCTTATATATTTTCTTACGCAAGCATATTCTTGTATATTTTATTACGCAAGCATATTCTTGTATATATTCTTACACAAGCATATTCTTGTATATTTTCTTACGCAAGCATATTCTTGTATATATTCTTACGCAAGCATATTCTTACATATTCTTACGCAAGCATATTCTTATATATTCTTACGCAAGCATATTCTTGTATATTCTTACGCAAGCATATTCTTGTATATTCTTACGCAAGCATATTCTTATATATTCTTACGCAAGCATATTCTTGTATATTCTTACGCAAGCATATTCTTGTATATTCTTACGCAAGCATATTCTTGTATATTCTTACGCAAGCATATTCTTGTATATTCTTACGCAAGCATATTCTTATATTCTCAATATATTAGAATTATTTTACTAGCAGTAAAGCTGCAATTTCGTTAGCCAATCTGGTAGGAAAAATAAACGGTAAAACATCATTAATGAACTGTCTCTGGAGCAAAGACAATATTATGAGCTAACAAGGAAGTCTGACGAGGGTTAATTGAGGCAAGGATATTTGAAAATTAGGAGGTGAACTTGTAATAATAATAAGTTACAATTTAATTTTTCATTATGAGCGTTCAGTAGAACCGAAATAGTGTTCATCTGGAGTACCTGAGGCCGGTGAGGAGGAGGAGGGGGGGGGGGGAGTGTGTCTATGCCTAAGGCGGCAATAGGCACTTGACAACCACTTAGAAGAAAACTCGGAGCTACAAAGATGAGGTGTGGTTGTTGTAATGTATACTGTAATACGTTGTTATATATATATATATATATATATATATATATATATATATATATATATATATATATATATGTCGTACCTAGTAGCCAGAACGCACTTCTCAGCCTACTATGCAAGGCCCGATTTGCCTAATACGCCAAGTTTTCATGAATTAATGTTTTTTCGACAACTTAACCTAACTTTTTGGGCTACCTAACCTATAAAGATAGGTTAGGTTAGGTAGGGTTGGTTAGGTTCGGTCATATATCTACGTTAATTTTAACTCCAATTAAAAAAAATTGACCTCATACATTATGAAATGGGTAGCTATCATTTCATAAGAAAAAAATTAAAGAAATATATTAATTCAGGAAAACTTGGCTTATTAGGCAAATCGGGCCTTGCATAGTAGGCTGAGAAGTGCGTTCTGGCTACTAGGTACGACATATACATATATATATATATATATATATGTATATATAATATATATATATATGTATAATATATATATATATATGTATATATAATATATATATATATGTATAATATATATATATATATATATATATATATATATATATATATATATATATATATATATATATATACACACACGATGTTTTTTAAATATATATATACACATGTAATATGTTTGTGTTAATGTTTATTCGAATGTTAGCATGTTTTTTATTTTATTTTATTTACTATTTGTGCCTGCTGAGTCGGGCTATTAGCTCTTGGACCCCGCGTTTCTAACCAATCTATTTTCTTATGTCTACTTCTTATATTTCTAACACACACATCCTCAGGATGCAGCCCGTAGCAGCTGTCTAACTCCCATGTACATATATACTGCTAGGTGAACAGGGTCATCAGATTCAAGAAACTCCACCCATTTGTTGCTGCCTCGGCTGGGAATCGAACCCGGGGCCCTTAGGACTCCGACCCCCAAGCGTTGTCCACTCGGCCGTGACGCCCCCCTGTCCAGAACATGATCAAACCTGTTTTTACTCTGAAATAATCTATTTTCATAACGAAATTAGAAGTATGTTGTTTCCATATCATTCGTTCATAAAATGATATACAAATCGGTCGACTAACTTCCCAACGATGGCCTTGATAAACAAATCCACAAGGGCCGTGACGAGGATTCGAACCTGCGTCCGGGAGCATCCCAGACAAGTGGATTGATAAGTGGTGTTGTCTTACAGGGCATGTACCACTGGGCCATCCCCAGTACCATCTTCGGCTTGCTGAGCGTGGCGGCCGGGCTCCTCACATGCATCCTCCCTGAAACCAACAGAAAGGCCCTTCCTGACACCATCGAGGACGTGGAGACGTGGCGCCTTCCGACTTCCAGGTGAGGAATACCTATTTAATTGGGGAAGAGTGGGGAGGGAGATTATGGAGCGAAGATAATCTGAGATACATTGACCAAAGGAGCTTGTTCCTGTGGAGCAGTGAGAAGGTAAAGGTAATTATCAACAGGGTAAGCAGGATAGGAGCAGAGACATAGGGACGGAGTGATTTTTTTTTTATTAATACATGAGGTGCATCTGTATTAGTGCAGCTACCCTATACTATATGAAGTGGAGTACAGTGTCAAAAAAGCTAACTAGGTGATGTTAAAAAATCCCCATCACACAGGATGGTTAGTCATACAAAGGCATGTGATGGGCAGTCTGCACTGGCAGACTCCTGAAGCATTTTGAGGATATCATCAACACAAGATTGAATAAGGTAGCAGTGGTAATGAAAGTCCCCATCTCGCAGGATGGTTAGTCATACAGGGCCATATGTTTAGTAGCCTGCACTGGCAAATTTTGGGTACACTGTGAGGATGTCTTCAAGAATACGAGAATGAATAAAGTAATTGCAAAGCTCCAGGTACCTCATGCCAACTGGTCTGAAAGGTCTAATAACTGGGCATTCAGTAGTGCGGGAGATCGTGCCGTAGTTCCTGCTCACAGAGTTTGCAACTAGAGTGCTCAGGATTGGGAGATCCGTCACCTGCAGCCACCTGCCACAGGTAACGGTAACCCAACCTGATCCTTGCAACCACTGTGTCGTACAGTCTGGTGGACGTTTTGTGCTGAAGAAAACGGCGTCTAGCCACTTGGACAATCAGGTCTTGGAGTGTAAGGGACCGAACGCCAAACCTGCAAGGTTGTCGCCCTGGGCAGAAAATGGCCCAGGGCTAGTCAGGACTTTTAACATTTACAAGTGTGACGAAGACAGTCGACCTATGGTACAATGGCTCACTCGTTCTCTCTCTCTTGGTCCAGCAGGAAGGCGAGCATTGTAGACGACGGTGCAAGGAAAGGGGTCGAGGAGGGAGATGACCAACGGGAATCATCGTGGCTTAACCCTTCCACAACCTTCGTCTAGCACACGTCTCCTGCCTGGTGAAGCAGTAGCTGTAGCATCAATAACAAATACATCAATAGCAGCAGCACCAGTATCAAGAATAACAGCACCAGCAACAAATACAGCAGCATCAATTGCATCTACAGCATCATCAATAGCACTAGCATCAGTATAAATTACTTCCAACACATCACATTAGAACCCAGTTTTCCTAAGAAAACTACCGGTGTACCTAGGCTTATGCAACTACTAATTAATAGTTACTCAGACCAACAGCACATTAGAAACCAACAGACATTAGAAATAGTTTCAATGTCAGAGTTAATCGATGGAATGCATTAGGCAGTGATGTGGTGGAGGCAGACTCCATATACACACTTTCAAATGTAGATCCGATAGAGCCCAATAAGCTGAGGAATCTGTACACCAGTTGATAGATAATAGAGAAGCGGGACCAAAGAGCCAAAACTCAACCCCTACAAGCACATTTATGCGAGTACATTTAAGTCTGTTTAATTACCAGTCGACCGGCCGCCATATACTCATCAGCTGTGTAATTTGCCAATTAGCGTGTTACTACACTACACACACAAATCACAATTGCGTGATGCATCAAATGAACAAATCCACAAGGGCCGTGACGTGGATTCGAACCTGCGTCCGAGAGCATCCCAGACGCTGCCTTAATCGACTGAGCTACGACGTGGTCAAAAGGAGTTGAAACCGAAGTTCTACTGAACTTACTGGATCCTGCAGCCTCTCTGAGGCACAAACCAGGGTTTTACACAACTCCCCCCATGCACTCGAGCTATGTCAATAGGCCGTTCTCCCTCTTCGCCCTTACTTCATTACACACAGAAAACACAATTCCGTAAACTCGTGGGCGTAAAGACGTTTGAGGAATAATTATATTTATATGTAATTTTAAAGCTGTTTTTTATACGAATCGTCAAGGAGCAATAACATTTCTTGCAACAGAAGTAACTGCAGTATCAATAGACCGTTGAAATCTTTGGAAATTACAATTACTGTATATATATAAAATGAAATCTTGTACTTAATTAATAGCCAGGTAATCTAATACAATAGTATTTACAGTCTAGTAGAGTACACTTATGTCCATACAATATTTGACTAAAATATTCCTGGATACGTCTTTTCAGAGGCGCGATTGTTTAAATATTAATCGCTTCCAGTTAGTGTTAAAAGCCTCTATGTATTGACTGCTCATTATGTTTTGGGATAGTCTTGATTTTTTTCAATTTCTTTCTTTATTATGCACCCCATACCCATCCCGTGGGCGGTGGTGTAAAGGATTACAGAGGCACATAATCGGTTCAGGAACTGAACCCCTCTAGAGATATTCATGTATTCTCATTTATGTAAATTTGTTGATATTGCATGAATATATATTGACATACGTAAGTATCTACGAGGAAACGCATAATAATATAAATCCAATCGTTCAGATTTGTTCAGCTCCCCCCCCCCCACCCCTCCGTCCTTTCATTGTAGCCACTTACGCATAACTGAATAGCGTTTTTCGAGATTATATTTGTATATATTGATTGTATAAGTGAAAGTTAGATATACAAAGTTTATATAGGTAGTTGGGTGTCTGGGAAGAAAGGAGGGGGGGTGGGGGTCCGCAGCTCCGGCCTAAAGCGCATTTAACAACCACAAAAAAACCTGGCTTGCTACCTCACGCTCCCTGCTAGTCAAACAAAGCGTTGAAAGGAGCGGTCTTTCATACCTTGTAAGGTCTGCCTTGGCCCCCAGACAAACACGCACACGCACCCACCCACCCACCCACCTCTAAAGGGGGTTAGTGTGGTTCGCCAGGCCACCCACCCAAAGCTTAAGAGCGGCTCAGTGCTTTGTAAACACAGCGTCAGTGGTGGTTTTGAATTAGCTCGTGTTGTGCGGTATGAAGTCTACGTTTACTTTTATGGAGTAATGCTGGGTTTTGCACGTCAAGAGACTCGATAAGTTGCCATTGCATATAGAAATTTCTGTAATATATATATACTGCATTCAGAGTTCCTGCCCGCCATCTGAGGAGCTGGAGGAACTCGACAACTTATGATAATCATCTTTGTACCATATATATAATTCCTTTTTTATAACCAAGTTTAAATAAAACAAATATACATGTATTATAGAAAATAATGGGGGTGGTAGAAGAAAATATTGAAGTGTTCAATGAGAATCCACCAGGTCTTCTGTGAATACTCTTTTATTTTCTTCTCCGAGGCTATGGGTCCCCACACTTGCACACCAGTACACACCACTTGTATCACCTCTGGCTGGAAGAAGGGGGGCCCTTAGCCTCGGAGGAAACCACACACAACTCATTAGAGGAAAAATAAATATATATATATATATATATATATATATATATTGTGCTCAAATTTATTGCTTTTGATTTAGATTCAAATTCTGTACATTCCAAATCTATTGAAGTATTTATTCCATTTGTAAATTTTGGTCCACTCAATATTGACATTAATAAATATATCCAAAAGAGCAGAGTCTGAAATCCTAAACATATGGGTTCTGGTATTCTTGAAGAGAGGACTAGATTAGGATTTGCAATGTGTTTTGTTCTTCCTTGGCTACACGAGGAGTGAGATCCTTATACTTGTAAAGACCCGCTAGGAGAAATGGCCTTGTATATATTCATTACTGGTAGCAGTTATCGCGTATGTGTGTGTATATGTATATAATATATATAAATATATATATATATAATATAAAATATAAGCACACTTCTATATACTTCCTGAAGCTCTTCTACTTAGGTCGGGAAGCACTTGACCTTGGAATACAGTACTTTTGTCGCTAATGGAGACAGTCGCGGTGACCTCATCATTTATTTGATGAAGATTAAGCCACCCAAGAAGTGGCACGGGCACGAATAGCACGTCACTCATCTATTATCGTCATGTGACTTTTATATACCGCCCAACGAAAATTAGACACTAACATAATGCCAAAAACTGTTGCCTTCCAGTTTGGACTATATAATTTCTCCACTTTATCTGGCTTGAAACACTTCTTTTAAATATTCTTATGTTTCTCTGTAACTTTGTGCCGACATTTTCAGCTCCATGTAGCCTATATCGTATTGGCTATATTAATCTTGACTTAAACGCCCCATTAATAATTCGTAAGGCGTAACTGGGACACAGTTTCTCAAAGGCAGACATTTATATTGGTATTCAATACTTAAGAAAATTCATTGCACTTCACGTCGTTTAGTGAATGAATACAAGTATTTAACCAGTATTCATTTGACACTTTTTGCATTATAAAAAAGAATTAATATCGCAATGAAAACTGGTCATTAATTTTTTTGCTTACAAGTCATTGCTCAATGATAATTGCGTGTGTACGAGGCAATTACAACATTCGGATATAAACTGTAATCAGTAAGTAATGTTCAGTTTGTGCTACATATCCTTCCCGGATTGGCGCCTTCTTTTGATACTTACTAGTAGCCTCGAGAGCTTGGGGGGGGGGGTAATAGCAGCACTCCAAGTTGCAATTCTTATGTGTCGTGGTACAGTTGACTAGAGTGCGTCTGGGAACATCTTGTTCATAGGTTCGAATCCTCATCTAGGCTCTTGTGAATTTGTTATTTTACTTACTGGTGTTTAGAGTGTTGAAGTTTTAAGATACGCTGCAGCCTCAAATGTGAGCCTCTTAGAACCCTCGGAGCACACGCTCTATTACTAGTTAGTGCTCTTCCTTCTCGGACAATCACTTGAGATCTGTGTATAGTGAGTATAAGTATTCTACAGACGTCCCTTCTTGATAACTGTACTACAGACAGTAGTATTGCCCCTTCTTAGTAACTACTACAGACGTCCCTTGCGGCTAACTGTAGTACAGACGTCCCTTGCGGATAAGTGATTGTCTCGCTTCCTACTTTCATCTATCCGTTAAAAAATCATCTTCATTGTGTAACTTGTCTAGCATTTAACAAATAAAAAATACACAGCGCCACAGTAATTATTGAAGATTCGAAGCAAGCCTCATTCACTTGACTCTATTTGTTATAATTTAGCTCTGAAGATATGAGAAAAAAAGCTGTATTTTTCAATTGTAAAATACAGTTTTTAAATTTACGGATTTTTTTAATTGTCAGTTCCACGATTTTATACATCGCGTTGTTTCCCCGAGTTTAATTAGCAATATGAACGTTATTTGTTAAGTGGGTTTTATCGTATCCTAACTCATCCTGTGGGTTGTTTATCCTAATGGTGTCCTGTGGCCTCGGGTTTTGCCCTATCTTATGGGTTCACACTACCCTAACCTTATCCTATGGGTACATGCTGTATACCCTAACCCTACCTCGTGGGTTCATGTTGTATCCCAACACTATCCTGTGGGTTTATATTGTATCCGAAGATAGTATGTTCCTTACTTAAGGTTTTGTCCCATACTTCTTTACCTACTTAAGGTTTTGTCCCATACTTCTTTACCTACTTAAGGTTTTGTCCCATACTTCTTGGGGAGCGGATAGGCGTACGCTCCTCTATTTGCATTCCTCTCTCGTCCTGTCTAAGCTCGATTATGGTTGCCCTGCATACTCTTCTGCTTCTCCTCCTACTCTTCGCCGTCTTGATCCTTTGCACCATACTGGGTTGCGCCTCAGCTCTGGTGCTTTTCGTTCAACTCCTACCCTCAGCTTGTACGCTGACACTGGCTTTCTGTCTCTCCAGGATCGCCGTGATCGCTAGTCTTCGCTATCTTGCGCGATCCTTACAGCATCTTCACTCTCGCCTCTATCGTGCTTTGACTTTTACCCCTCCTGTAGTTCCTGTTCCTCTTCACCTCCTTCCTCTTTCTGTCCGTTTGTCTCGCTTACAAGATTCTCTTTCGGTTCGTCTTACTAATGTTTCTCCTCGTATTGTTCCCTCCTTGCCCCCGTGGAGGGTCCCCCTTCCCAAATTTTGTACTTCTCTGACCCGCATCACTAAAGCTTTTACCCCTCCTACAGTTCTGAAACGCCTCTTCCTTGAGCACTTTTCATCTCGCTCCCACTCCGTTCCCATCTTCACCGATGGGTCCAAGTCTGCTGCCAGTGTGGGCTACTCTGTTGTTTTTCCTGACCACACTTGTATGTGTCGCCTTCCTCCGGAGGTTAGCATCTTCACAGCAGAACTCTATGCTATTCTCTATGCTCTTCGTCTCCTGCTTTCCCGGAGGCAATCCTCCTTCGTGGTAGTAGTTGACTCTCGTAGTGCCCTCATGGCTTTAGGGTACTTTAATCCAGTCCACCCTGTGGTCATAGAGATTCAACATTGGCTGTTTCTTATCTAAAGTAAATTTAAGTCAGTTGCGTTTTGCTGGGTTCCCAGCCATGTTGGTGTCTTTAAATGAGCGTGCGGATGCTGCCGCTAAGGACGCTATCCGCACTTGTCCCATCTCCCATAAAAGTATTCCTTATTCTGACTTTTACCCAGTTATTCATGCCTCCATCCTTGCCCGCTGGCAGAGTTGTTGGTCTTCTGTTCTTGGTAACAAACTGCGTACTCTTAAGAGTCGTGTGTCCCAGTGGCCTTCCTCCTGCCACTATAACCGGTGGTGGGAAACGGCTCTAGCTAGGTTACGTATTGGCCATACCTGTTTAACTCACGGTCACTTGATGGAGCGCCGCCCTGCTCCTTATTGTCCGAATTGCATTGTCCCTCTTACGGTCGTGCATATCCTTGTTGAATGTCCTGACTTTCAGGACGAGCGTGTCTTGTTTTCCGACCGTCCCCCGCGGTCGCTTGTCCCTCCATAGAATTCTTGGCGACTCTGATACTTTTGATATCGTTCGCCTTATGCGTTTTTGTTCTCGTATTGGCATCCTTGGTGATATTTAGCGCCCTCTGATTATCCCGCACTTTGATGGTGCTACACAGCCTTCCCGGTTTGGTGCCTTCTATTGATAATTACTTACTTCATGTGTGATCAAGTGAATTTTTGTGTGCATAAAATGGTGGTCTGTACACGTGTAAATTGCATTTGGGAGCCCTGTTGTTTTTTTTCATCGCTAAGTAAACCAGCCCGTCCTCCCAACGTCAAGAAAACGGTTAATAAAAGTGCCCTTATCCTAACCTACCAGAGGACCCTAAACAGAAAACAGGGCAGTACGTCTCTTTCGCGAGCCGTTTCCATTTTCTAGCTCGCCAATTTTTGGTCTTATGTAACGCATACGAGCGAAAAGCAACGTTCTTTGTAAGAGGACAGGTTGGAATAAGTTATGTAAGTAAGTAGGCTTCCCAGAGTAAGTCACACCATCTATACCGTGATGTGACTCCTGGGAACATCAGCGGAATATAACATATCTTACACCTCCATATTATCTCTAGTCGAGAGCTTCAGATTTACATTTGTAAGCGTTTTATATGGAGTACAATACATGCGTATTGTATAAAATGACGCACGTTTAGTGACCGCAGTCTATTCACAACCGACTGATTGATTGACAGTTGAGAGGCGGGCCCAAAGAGCCAGAGCTCAACCCCCGGAAGAATAACTAGGTGAGTACAATGTGTGTGTGTGTGTGTCAGTAATATTTTCAGAAACACGACCGCCAGCCACAGACTTCATCTCTCGCATTAATATTCCCAGTTAATTATTGCTTTTACTCTAAGCGCCGCCATTGCTGATGTAATATATAACTATATATAATACATATATATAATTACATACATTATATATATATATATATATATATATATATATATATATATATATATATATATATATATATATATATATATATATATACACACACACACACACACACACACACACACACACACACACACACACACACACACACACACACACACACACACACACACACACACACACACACTAGGGGCCTCGTAGCCTGGTGGATAGCGCGCAGGACTCGTAATTCTGTGGCGCGGGTTCGATTCCCGCACGAGGCAGAAACAAATGGGCAAAGTTTCTTTCACCCTAAGTGCCCCTGTTACCTAGCAGTAAATAGGTACCTGGGAGTTAGTCAGCTGTCACGGGCTGCTTCCTGGGGTGTGTGTGTGTGTGTGTGGTGTGGAAAAAAAAAAAAAGTAGTTAGTAAACAGTTGATTGACAGTTGAGAGGCGGGCCGAAAGAGCAAAGCTCAACCCCCGCAAAAACACAACTAGTAAACACAACTAGTAAACACACACACGAAGCAATGCATGGGTTCTAGCCTCTGCTTTTTGTGCTTCGTGGAACTATAGTGATTCTTAACCGGTTTGAGGAGCCCTACCTAACCCGTCTCTGCCTCAAGCGTTCACATAGAAAGCTTTTATGGTGTTATGACTGTCACTATACATTTTTTTTCTTAGTGTCTTATATTTGTTTTAATGTTATTTAGTAATTCTCTTACGATCGCTTCTTTCTTTATTATGCAACCCACACCCATCCCATGGGCGGTGGTAGAAAGGGTTACAGAGGCACATCATCGGTTCAGGAACCCTAGAGTTCGTTTAGCTAAGTAAATGACAATCTTTTTTTTTTAAGCTAGCTGCACGCCTTTGTAATATTCAAATTCTAAAAAGAAAATTGTCTAAGGGAAGGTCACTTTTTTGCCATCTTGTGCACCGAACGAGCCATCTGTTTAAGGGCTTAATTAACTGCCTATCATCAGGTCAATTTCGAGTAGGAAAGGTTAGGTTAATGTTAATGTGTTAACCCCCCTATCCCTGTAGCTCTCCCCCGGCCGTCATCTCTACTCAGTTCAGTGAAGGATTGGGGAAAGACTTTGGCGCGCCCTGTGTGCTACATAATGCGAATCGATAATGCAGGAGCTTTGATCTCTGTCTGCAACCCGTTGCAATGCTCCGTGTCTTGTTGGTAACGAATGTTGCAATTCCATTTTTGTTTCTCATTTTTTGCTCTTAAGTGACGCTCGCCAAGTTAATTAGAGATTTTGGCTCATTTTACTGCGCACGTACGTGTGTGTGTGTGTGTGTGTGTGTGTGTGTGTGTGTGTGTGTGTGTGTGTGTGTGTGTGTGTGTGTGTCTGTGTGTGTGTCTGTGTGTGTGTGAGAGAGAATATCATTGACTGTCTATGCCTGTAGTGTGTGTGTATACATGTACGTGAGTGTATATCTATATATGGGTGTATGTTTGAATACATACCTGGATGCCTGTGACAGTGCCTGTATGTATCTATATGTTTGTGTGCATACCTTAATATATGTGTATTTGTGTGTGTAGTAATTGTGCGCTTAAAATCATGAGAAATCATTTAGCCATTTACTTAATGAATAACAATATGTTTACTGCAGTGTTCATTAACGAAATACAGAATGTAAATCAATTTCAATGAATTCATAGCCTCACCAGTCCCGGAGATCTCACAAAGTTGAGCTCTTTTTTTTATATAGAAAAAAGGCAAATAAGCTCTCCAACTTTATTTCATTAGGACTTCCCAGATAGCCTGTTGTTCCATCGCCCCCAAAAAAGTTGATGGTGAAAATATTTTCTTTCATAAGTTATTATGCTGCGGCTTTGAAATGAAGTAGTGAAAGTTTAAATCCTTACTGCATCCCTCCTTTCCCCCCTCCCCTCCCCTCCCCCCATACTCCTCACAAACAAAAACAAATACTTCATTTTTTTTTTTTTTTTTTTTTGCAATTATCTTGCAAAACGTTTTTCAGTCTATTTGGAAAATACATCTCATCATTTTTTTCAAAAGTTGTTTAGAGCGATTTTGTTAGCTTCCAAAGACTGTTCTTATGTCATTTATAATTTCAAATGTAGTTTCAGAGCATTGTGATTTTTTTTTATTTTTTTTTTATTTTTGTATGGGAGCAGGCAGTCTTTTTTTTCCCAGACAAAACAAATTAATAATTTAGAAAATTTTTGTTGTTTTAAGATTCGTTACCTGGAACAAAAAGTTCCAAGTAGCACGGGCTATGGTGAGCCCGTAGTGTTGTGTTCAAATTTAGCAAAGAATTACTCAGTCCTCTTATGAAGGGTAATTCTGCTCTGAACGGATTACAGGAGTCCCGGTAGTACAGGCGGGTTCGTTCTCGACGCGCAATCAAGAATTACGGGTTTGAATCCCGGGCGAGACAGAAATGGTTGGGGGCACGTTTCCTTTCACCTAATGCGTCTGTGCACCTAGCAGAAAGTAGGTACTCGGGAGTTAGTTTGTTGTGGGATTGCATCCTGGTCGGGTGGGGGGTGGGGGGAAGGGACCTCGATATATGCCTAACGTGTATGAATACACTCAGGCTTCCTGTCCCCCCGACACAATGAATTTACTTTAAAGATCAGAAAAGTGAATTATTATTATTAAACTCCATACTCAAATGTATGATTTCATGATTTGTATGAATTCATACAAATTCATACTCAGTCTTGTATGAATTCGTAAATGTATTCTTTTTCTATATTATTTTAATGATGCTATATTTTGGCATTTAATATGATAACGCCAAGTCTTTATTCCCTTTGGGAGCTTTGAAACCTGCCTGAAACGTTATTGGTGCTAGTGGCTTTACAATTATGTAAAAATCTTGATTGCTATGTACTCTCATAACCCCCAATGTATCTTCCTGTTTATAAATAAATAAATAAATAAATAAAAAGGTGGAGGGGATGTAAATATAGAAGATGGGAATATCATAGAAAATGTTACATATGACTGACTGCGTTATTTTACCCGTATATATTCGAATACTGTATATGTATTTTTTACGTAATGGTGCTTATTTTGCCGTTCTTACCTGGGTATTTGTACCTATATCTCGTCTGCGTGTCCGTATTCTTACCTATATGATTGTGCGGTAGTCGAACGCCTCTTGTTTGTGTATGTCTGTTTTGTCCATCTAGGAAACAAACTGCAATTTCCATATAGTATCCCAATCCATTCCTTTTGAACAGTTTATATTTCACTAAACATATACCGAGAACATTGCTGAGAGCCGTTTATATAGTCGCCATAGAACAAATGTAAAGTGGTGAAACATGGGTTAAATAACAACTTTTTCGGTTGCCACACATTCACTATACATTAAACAAAGATACATATATGTATTTACTAATTATACAACCAGCCCTCGTATAAATACAACAAAATATATATATATATCCCCGTGTTTATTTCATTTCTAACGGCAAGCTAACGAGAAATCAGTAAGAGCTGCGTGGCTACAGGTCGTATTTAATAGATGGCGTGGCGCGTATTGGCACCAGAGGTGATGGTGGTCCGGGAGGCTTGGGGAGGCCCCTTGGCCTTCACTCGGCCCCACATAACTTGTTTGGACTAGAGTCTATCTGTCTGTCTCTGTGTGTGTGTGTGGTGTGTGTGTAAGAGCCTGCGCGTGTTTGGTGAGACTGCGTGCGTTGCGTCCCCTCGCTCTTACTCCCGGTCTGCTTGTTTGACTTTGGTAAGTATATTTATAACTGTGGGTTGATTCTGATGTGTTGGTGAAGCGATTATTTGCTTCTGTAATCCTTTTTTTACTACTACCGCGGCCCACGGGATGGGGTGCATAATAAAGACAGGAATTGAAATGGATTTGAGTCTATTGTGGATTATGTTGGTTGTTAAGTTTGAGGTCGTTTTGTTCATTTAGCCTGTTTGTGTGCGGGTTTTTTTCTTACAATGTACAGAGACATTTCAGCCATGTATGTATATATTTATATATATAATATATATAATATATATATATATATATATATATATATATATATATATATATATATATATAATATAATATGATATAGTCACGTATATCCGGTATACGTGGCTATATTATTTAGTATTTAGAATCATAACATCACTTGAGGTGTAAAGTAGTTAGATACATATATTTTATCTCCAGATATTATAAATCGCTTGGAAATAAACAAAATGACAAGGTTATTTATTATTGTATTTTATTTTTTTTTTACGGTGAACAACCGTGAAGTAATCAGTGCAGGAGGTAACCCAGGGTAGGCGGATATTAGACATTCTGCCAACTTGCAGATAATGTTGAAAATGAATTTAACCTGGTAAACTGTGAACATGGATTGTTTGATCATTGGAGCTTTTGATGAGGCTAAAGTAAATTATATCTTGTGAGTTATTGCCAACTTTATATAAAGAATGTAGCTTTAGAATGGAAGAAAGCTTACAGTAGGCTTTAAAGATGGTTTTCGATTTAATTGTAGGAAATGCTTGGTATAGGGAATGATGCAACCGGTCCCTTCCCACCGACCGTCTCGGATAGTGCATGTCGGGCACCTAACTCGCTTTCCCTTCCCTCTCTCCCTGGCGGCCCGCCTGTTCTATGATAGTTCTTGTTTTCTATTTTGTTCTATTCACTTTTCTAGTTATTCGCGTTTGTTTCATCTCGCCAGTTTTTGTTTTTTTACACAGGTGGTACAAGAATAGAGGTGTTCTGACTCCTATTATCTGGCTTACCCTTCCCATAATTCATAGTAAACCTAACCCTACAATTTTTTTTTTTTACCTAGAACACAACTTGCCAATTTGTTTTGCTCCCAGTTCCTCAATTGTTGCTGGGTGAATAGAGGCGAATAGATATGGATTAGTTCCCAGTCAATCCATCTCTGGTATTGTCACGGGGCGAGTGTGTGCATGCGCTCTAATTACTAGGCTAGCTACTCAGAATACAATACATCACATATGTTAGACTCCTGCTAGAGTATGCGGCACCAGGAAGCATGCCTGCACCTTCACCCCTTTATCTACTACCACGCAAAGAGCCCTATAACTGGCTCGTCAAATAAGCAAAAGCTTGGCACGGGCAATTCATGCCCGTGCCATCTCTTGAGTGGCTCAATCTTCGTCAATCAATCAGCAAAAGCTCACTTGTTACTGCTCTCCGGCTTAGACTGACCTGCAAGTATATCTTGAAGTGGCTAATGTTAACTCTTGCAGCACAATTACTGTTGATAATGTTCAAGAAACGTTCAAATATTTAATCGAAAGTGACATATTACCCAAAATCTTTGTTGAGTGTTCTAAATTTGCCTGCTGGATGTAGTGCATGGAGGCCTACTCTGTAACGTTCACATTACCTATAACTGGAAATCTTATACGCTTTGCTTCACCACTGTAGGTGTAATAACTATTGTTATTATTTCACTAGAATAACAATTTGTTTGGTTTAATACTTATTATGTTTCATTTGCTGTAAATATTACACACTAAAAACCTACATTTTCTTATAATGTGTCTAAACAAAGTTTGTCATCAATAACTTAAGAGTTTAGTTCTTGAGGCCATTGTGTGACTGCAGCCCTTCAACGCTCCGCGCACACATTCATGCCTGGTCGACGACCGGGCCGCAGGGACGCTAAGCCCCGGAAGCACCTCAAGGTAACACGTGTACGTAGCGTGTACGATACGTATTGGGCACAACCTCAGGGTTACCTATGTTCTCCTCGGACCGGTCTCTGGCCGGGCCTCTCAGTGTGACAATGAAATTCTGCGCCGTTGATGAGGTAGCCTTTGGAGGTGTTCAATGCCAATTCCTAGCTAAATGTACATTGTGGGTTTAGACCCCAGAACCCCACCAAGAGAGGGCAGTCGTGCTGCCACCGCCTTAGCCTTAATAAACAAAAGCAGTTTCCTACGGTGAAACTTCAACAAACGTAAGAGCTAAGCTAAAGCAATAATGCATTAATTAATATATACAATGGCTGAAACATTCATTACAGTACATGGATATGCTCTGAAATGATCACCTACACGAACAAGATTGGCTTTTTGAAAGTCTTGTAACGTGTATACCGTATTATACCCAAGGAAACAGCGCGTAAAATACATTATTTTGGCTTTGTTCTTGAGAGTGGAAAGACTAGCCATCTTGGAAGTTGAGATAATAGTCACCTTGGAAGTCGATAAAATAAGCAAATCGCTCAATGTTTACGAGTATTGGAGCAAAATTCGTGCTTCCATGTTTTCAATGTGTTAGGCCTTATTGCTAATAATTAATTAAGTAAAAGACTTAGGCACAAGATTATCCACTTCTCTGTATCTCTCTCCTTTCCGGAGGCACATTAAACTAAGCATTGCTTGCAACCATTGGTATCCTTACGTAAAAATATTAAGCTCACTCCTAAAAAAAGTATCACGTTTACTCCTTGGGTTTTACAACTCACTTTTGACATGTCCATCCTCTTCGGAGTGGTGTTTGGCTTAAAGCCTAGCAAAGGTTGGAAGATTATAAATTTTGCCACAAAAGCCTATTGACCAATCAACTCGTATACTTTAGCCATGAACCTAACGTACTTTAGTCTACACCTAAAGAAAGGTAATCATCAGGGGGAGAGCGCCAAGCCATTACGACTATATAGCACTGGGAAGGAGTCAAGATAAAGATTTGGGATGGGACGGGGGGGACAGGGAGGGACGGAATGGTGCCCAACCACTTGGACGGTCCGGAATTGAACGCAGACTTGCATGAAGCGAGACCCTCGCTCTACCGTCCAGCCCAAGTGTTTGGGCTATACCTAAAGAAAACTTCCAAGAGTATGTACATCGGGAAGTACATACATCTATTGTGTCGCCGTTCAGTTTTACCAAATTAAAGTTGAAGTATTGTGAAAGGTCAAGTGATCAATTTCCGATTTTACTATCTTTGTTCTTAATTCTATTATTATTAGTAACAATAACTTAATATCTGAATTACCAGTTATGCTGTTGAGGATTATTTGATTAAAAAATCAACAATAGTAGGACTACGACGATGTCAATTACGTATGCCCTGATGCAGTCTGTGTAGGATTACTCAAAATGCATCTGTGCTTGTTTGTCCAGTGTCTGTACAGGATAACCAATAGGCTGCTGCTGTTGCCACAGTCGCGTTAGCTCTGCCAAAGAGAGAAACTAGTAAATTCCAAGGAAGAAAGGAAGGTTGAACAAAAAAAAAAACACATGAACGACATGACGGGATCAGAAAGGATGTACGACCACACATACAAAAAAAAAATCAGGATAAAGGGAGAGTGTGTTCCGCTTTCTGGAGACAGACGACGTGACATATTGCTCAGTTCCTGTGGCCACTGAGTGCAACGTTGCTGTTCAGGCATAGTTGATTGGGAAGGAAGGAAGTGGAGTGGACATCACAGAACAGTTAAGTCTTGCACAATAAATAATGGCCCAACTTACAAAGGGGAAAAAACTAATCCGAGTGCCTCACAGACTAATTGAAAGCCCGAATTATAAGGTCCCACAGGCCTGGCAACAGGTGTGGGCTACACAGGCTTGAGGAAGCTCCCACAAACCAGGACGAGGCTTTTGCGGAGTACAATGCACTGTCTAATGATGTTACTAAAGCTACAAATTCAAACTTTATGGAAGCCTATTTCTTTCACATATTTCAACCAATAATACAATTCAGCTTTATTTGCACGCTGAAGATAGAAAGGAATAGATTTATCTAATAATAATGCAATGTTTCTTAATTATCCTCTTAGTGGCATCAACGCTAGTGACCCTATTTAGATTGACTCATGTCATTTAATATAAAACGGTAATGTACGCGGCTGGGAGTACTCTGGTCACTGGTTCAAGTTACCTCATTGGTCCAAATGATTTTCTCATTGGTATATCATGTTAATGGGATTTCTTCTTGTAAAATAAAGGAACCACCGTAATTGGCACTAGGATTCTGCTTTTGTTGCTTGGTTGGGTATCGCCCACACGCGCTTAACTTTTGGACACTTTTAATCGAACAATGTCCTAGCTGCTGCTGATTATCCGAATTGCATTATCTCGCAGTCGAGCACCCCCTTCGTAAAATGTTCAGAGTTTCAAGATGAACGTAAGTCTTGTTTTACTTGATAGAATCCGATGTGTTTGACGTTAAAGTCATGTCTTTTTGTCTTATGTCGATCCTAAATACCGCAGTGGCATCCTGAGGTATTTAGGATCTTTGGAATATCCTGACACAGACAGCGTTAAATAGTCTTCGTGGTTTGATGCCTTCTTTTGACAGTTATTTCTTAATATAAAGGAAACCTGCCCCCGGACTTCCAGGAACTGTATTGTTCCACTCATTGTTACACACCCTAATGAATGCTAAGATCTCCAGGATAGCCGTAAATTTTGATTCCCTTAGATTCTGTCAAATAAGTTGTCACCAAAATAAATCGTATCTGTACCATACCTCAGCCTATGCTCTTATGTTCTCGTATCGCCGACTTGAGAAACATTATGCTGTAGACATGCTGGCTTATTATCGCCTTCAGAGAATTCATTCCTGGACGGAACTACATGGGAAAGGCCTCCCCCCCCCCCCCAAAAAAAAAAATGGATGGGTTTTCTCAAATACAGGTTAGCCATCCCACGCAACTCGCTAAAGACGCCACTAGCCTTTCAAGCGGTTGAAAGGCAAAAAGATGTGGGGGTCTTTAAATAAATGATAAATAATCTCGGCTTTAAAACATGATGCATAGGTTTTTGGACCAAGTAAAATTCAGGACCACAGTTACCCCTGGACGGTTAACCAACAACAACAACAGACACCAGCATGTGTGAGAATAACCTTGAACGTGGCGCAGTCATTGCCAGCCAACGTAAACACTGTTATACACGACGACTGCATTTAGGCACTGTGGTCCTTTCTGCCACTTGGCGTCATGGATTTGGCTCCACACATTAGCCTCACCGTAGCCCATATCATCACGAACCAACCGCCATGCATTAACCTCCACGCACCCAGCCGCCACTCACCGGCCTGCACGCACCCAGCCGCCACACACCAGCCTGCACGCACCCAGCCGCCACACACCGGCCTGCACGCACCCAGCCGCCACACACCGGCCTGCACGTACCCAGCCGCCACACACCGGCCTGCACGTACCCAGCCGCCACACACCGGCCTGCACGTACCCAGCCGCCACACACCGGCCTGCACGTACCCAGCCGCCACACACCGGCCTGCACGTACCCAGCCGCCACACACCGGCCTGCACGTACCCAGCCGCCACACACCGGCCTGCACGTACCCAGCCGCCACACACCGGCCTGCACGTACCCAGCCGTCACACACCGGCCTGCACGTACCCAGCCGCCACACACCGGCCTGCACGTACCCAGCCGTCACACACCGGCCTGCACGTACCCAGCCGCCACACACCATCCGCCATGCACACAGCCTCCACTCACAGGCCTTAAAAAAAAGTCCTTATTAACGCATTACACAAAGAAAGGAAAATATCAAGAATAAACACCTAAAAATAGTTATTATTAAATGTTTCTTTACACACTGTATACATCGACAACACAGCCCACCTTGAGTTTACACAGTCTACGTCGACAACACTGCCCACCTTGAGTTTACACACTGTATACATCGACAACACAGCCCACCTTGAGTTTACACGCTGTATACATCGACTACGGAGCCTCACCCTGTGTTTACACGCTGTATACATCGACCGCTGAAACATGGAAGTTCAGAAACATGAACTGAGGACGGGTTGAGACAAAATGTAGCCTTAGGCTTCAGTAGCCACATCTGCAGGAGTAGCCTAATATCACTGCCTCAGGCAAACACGGGGCGGATATTGGAATTGCTGTATTCAAGGTTGGCCACCACCTGCCCTCTGCCTTCAGTAGCCCTCAACACGCGAAACTGGAACCAGAGACTTGCCTCGTAATCGTTAAGGCATTTGCGGAGCGAGGTCCAATTAGTTTAGGATGCGTATTACATAACTAGTTGTCCAGCCCGTTCTCGCAAGCGTTCCCAACGAGATTGTCATTCGGAAACCGGTACTATTTTCTAGTACCAGTACAACATTTTTGCCCTTATGAAAAATATACGTCAAAATGCGACGTGCTATTAGGACGAGGACGTATCGCTCCCTCGTTAGAGCGTTATCTTGAGGTTATCTTGAGATGATTTCGGGGCTTTAGTGTCCCCGCGGCCCGGTCCTCGACCAAGCCTCCACCCCCAGGAACAACCCGTTCTCGGAAATTCGTAAAGTCAATATTGACTTATTAACTACGTGCATAGGTGATATACTAAACATAATAGATACCCTTAAAAAGATTCATAGAAAACACCGACCTTACCTAACCTTGTTAGTATCTTAAGATAAGCATCTTATTGTTTCGTAATTACAATTATTACTTAACCTATACCTATTATAGGTTAGGTAATAATTGTAATTACGAAGCAATAAGATGCTTATCTTAAGATACTAACAAGGTTAGGTAAGGTCGGTGTTTTCTATGAATCTTTTTAAGGGTATCTATTATGTTAAGTATGTCACCTATGCACATATTTAATAAGTCAATATTGACTTATTACATTTGCGAGAACGGGTTGCCAGGAAGCAGCCCGTGACAGCTGACTAACACCTAGGTACCTATTTTACTGCTAGGTAACAGGGACATAGGGTGAAAGAAACTATGCCCATTGTTTCTCTCTGGCACCCGGGATCGAACCCGGGACCACAGGATCACAAGTCCAGCGTGCTGTCCGCTCGGCCGACCGGCTCCCTATATGAAGTTGCAGTTCAGTGACGTGTAGGGTCAGGAATATGTACACCGAGAAGTGAATATCACTTCAAGGTGTATATATACATTGAGAGTTTAATACTAGGCTATGTTGAGGACTAAAGAAGATATAGTGGCAAGTCAGCAAGCTATTTCGGTGACCTTAATTAATAACTCTCCCGTGGTTGCTAGGTCTCAAGTGCAACACCAAACCAACCTAGAGTCAAGTTTCTGAAAAAAAGTCGATAAAGCTATCATTCCACAAATCGTCCTAATAACAAAAGCCTATCTGTTGTCCTATCGCCGTTGTGTATGTTCTTCGACTAGAAATGTTCGCCTTATCACTCAGAATTCCAAACGTGTAATAGTTATGGGGCTTGTGAACCCCTCCATGCATGGGGGTGAACCTCTCTTATCTCACACGCATTTATAGTTCAAGTAGTTTCACGTGAGATTATCTACTGATGGGCTGAGTTGCCAGCAACGATAAGACTCAATTAAGGCGTGTGAAGACTCCTTACTAACGAAACAAAGACAAGTCTAAACACGCAGCCAAGTTAAAAGTCGAATTTAGCACTGTTGGGTCTGGCCAGGAATTAAACAGGTGACTGCATAGCCAGTGTGAGTGTAAAGGAATCAACTTATCCTCTAAAAATGCTAGTACCGACTGAGGTACTAAAAAAAGTAAGGTAAAAAAATGCTGTAAAGGTAAAAATGCGACTGAGATATGCACGAAAATGGACTGTTCCATATGCACGAAATATGGACTGTTCCACACAAAATTAGGTTTTGTACTCGTGATATATAAAAAAAAATGGCCTACAGAAGCTGCAGCAACCTAATCTGTCCAAGGCCTAAGTAAACAATGTTAAGCATAATTAAGCATAAAACCAGCAATATTAGGCTTAATTTAGTACAAATATGTATACTACAATTCCTAGCAAAGGTTAGGTTTGGTTGTTGCTTTCTTTGTCGGGACCTTTAAAACTTCCATAGCTACAAAACGTAGATATTTGTGTGGTGTAACTATAAACATTTTGTACATTCCATCCACAGTTGTTCTTGATGCTAGCATTTTTTTATGATATTTTTTTTCCTACCATAGACGTGACCATTAATATAAAGTACTGACTAGCATATACTATATACGTTTTCTTCTATCCTCCACGGACAGGGTTAGAGATCTGTTACACATCATATAGTGTAGTGAGTTATTGAGCTCTCAGCCACAGAAGGTGACTGTTGTGCTTTTACAATGCTAACCAGCATACGTGCGTTCTCAACTCTCTTGCATAGACAGGGTAGTAGAATATGGTGTGGAAGGATTGTAGTGAAGGTGTGCAGTACTAGAGACTAGTTCAAGTACGTTTATTGAGACAATACAATACATCTCAAAGGGATAGAATAGCTTAGGCTATTTCTACCCCCCCTTCCCCTTCCTAGAGACTAGTGTTGGAAGACCGCAGGGGTGCTGAGTCCTCGCCCACTCGGCTTGCCAGCGAGAGGACACGAACTCTAGCCCTAACCTTGGGCAGGGAGAAAAGATTGACCACCGTTTTATCGCTGTTTTTTTTTCCTATGCTCTCTCCAGTAATACGGGGCCTGGTTGTAAAGCGATTAGCTGATCGTGTTATGGTGAAAACAAGTAGGTTAAGGATTTTAGTGAGCTGTGAGAAGGGTATTTTTTAACCTGCAAAGAATAGTCAGAAACCTTCTACTTCTGCATTGTTTAAAGTAAATTAAATCATCTTATTGATCTCGCCTCTCTCCCTCTTTGTAAGCAGTAGTCTGTATATCTCTTCTGCATGTGATAAAGCCCTTACGGGAGAAATGTTATCTTCAAATAATCTAGCCTTATCTTAATGTTTATCAGTAGCGTTCTCAGCACTTTATGCTCTCTTCAACCAGTAAGGTTATCGCAAGTAATTTCCACTCATTCTTCTCCATTGTACAAGTATCCCAAAAGGAAGAAGGTAAGCGTTGACGACTAGCAGATGACAGTCTTCCTTTATATTAGGATTTCTGAGTACTGCCTTGTATTGCAAAGGCTTATGTTGCGTATTTTCTTGTGTTTTTATTACAAATGAAACTTGTTATGTTCCAGTTATTTTGTCATGTATAGCAACAGTGTTTGTTCCCTTCCAATGTTACTAGAATAGTTTTTGCGTAATTTTGCTAAATGAAACGATTTTGTGTAGAATCCTTATTCTAAACAATAGGAACTAACAGCTTAAATATAGTTAAATGTGCTTCTTAACAGTGAGGTAAAACTATATTATGTTTTACGTGTTTTTCATTGAAAATTAAGACATTGCTTCATATATTGATTTTTACAATTGCAGATGATTAGAGGTGAAGCCGCGCTAATGGACGAAGAAGGTTTTCCCTTAGTGCTGGATTCCAGACCAGTAGCAGACTACGATGTGGGTCAGTTTCCAACTGACCTTCCCAAAAATGAAGACCAAGAGTCGGGAGAGATGACGGGCCAGCAAGTAGTTGTGGTTAGACGACCCCCTGAGAACAGTCGCATTCAGACGGATGTGAGGATACTCCATCGCAATGCGATCAGGACCCAGTTGGAGGCCCTGCAGTACTCCGTCAGCCACAGGGCGCTTCATCTCCACTGGAACTTTTTGTCTTCGAGTCCGGCTCTTCATCTGGAGACACCTCGGATACCCTTCCATAATGTTAATGATTCCAGGACTTCAGAGCTGCCCATCCAGCCAACAGGATTCAGGCGTGAGCATGAACTACATCTCGAGAGGACGGCCACGAGGAAGCCTTTTAGGCTCCAATCATCTTATAGTGAAAGTAAACCAAATAAAAAGGAAGTCTATATAAGTATTTGGAAAGAGCACTGTCGCGGTCAGTTAGTGTACGATGACAATGCAGTAGAATGGAAAGAACTCAAAAACAAATGTAGATTCTGGATTCCGTTTCAGGTCGTCTTGGGAGACTTCGCCATCTTCTTACCTTGTTGTTTGCTTTGGTTATTTCGATTAGTAGTAGTAACACTGAAAATATGTGTGCCGTCGGTGGGATTACAAATGGTGTATTATCACTTCCTGTACAATCACATAAAAATTCATTTAATTGGAAATGAGAGAGGTGTAGAGCCAATATTTACTGGTGCAGTTTATCAGGGGCCCATGATTTACAGCGTCAGATATGTCAGCTGCCCTTACTGTAGGTACAAGAGGGAATCCAAAGCGTTACTCAAATACTTTGATATCCTGTACCAAGAGAGGAGAGACATGGCTGTCAGGTAGTGAGAAGCTGTATGTGGAAATGTTACTAATACAGCGAGATAGGAACGCAGTCAGGAATGCCAAATAATGAAACAAATCAGTTTTAATGAGGCTTCTTCAATTTCCAGTACCAGACAAGGGTATAGTAATGAACTGTTCAAATGCTCGCCAATTATATTGCATGTTCAACAAACGTGGCAATGAAGCCATCACAATGTTGTCCTTTAACTTCCATAACCGAGCTTTTGCAGCTATACGTATCTGCAGTAATCCTTTGAATAGTATGTTCGTATTGTAGTTTCCGAACGTCATCTGTGATCGTTGGATGGTCTGTGTATGGTCTTTGCTAAAGACTGTTACCGTCAGTACCATGTGTGGCTTAAAAATCCATAGTAACTGTAACAACTGGTTCCTTGGTCTGTATTTGATATGAAATTAGACCAATGAAATCAAAACAGAGGACGCTGCTTTCTTAAGTCTGTGTGTGTGTGTGTGTGTGTGTGTGTGTTAAGATTGAGTCTGTGATTTTTTTGTGAGAGAATGTGTATATTCACGTAAACGTGTTTGCAGATTCGAGCGGCTTGCTTTAGTCATGTTAATGCCATGTGCTCGTGCGTGGGTCTGTCTATATGTCTACAAGCAAGCAAGGGCATAACTCTGCTTCTGGGAAACATTTTCAACCTAGTGGATCAATTCTACTATGAAGAAACTGCAAGGTGATGGGCTTCTAGAGAAGGTCATAGAGCGTCATGTTAAAAACATTTTTATTTTACATTAGCATCTGCTTTGTTGCATATATATACATATATATGAATAAATAAATAAATATATATATATACACATCTCAACCTCGACCAACTTTTCCAAACGACTGCAAACAGGTCAAATGGGATAGCCCCATAGTGGAGAACATTGCCAGTTTGCCACGCCATTACTGGAGGCAGCTGCTGGTAAGGACAAAGTGCGCATCCTAGCTGAACAAGCTCCCCATGCCGGGGACTTCCTGTTGGCTGTCCCTAAGTCTGTCTTGGGCACCCGCCTGGACCATCTGGCTCTAAGTAGTGGTGTTGCCCTGCGCCTTGCCGCCCCTATCCATAAATAAATTGTTAATATATCAAAATAGCATTAAATGAAGCTATCCATTAAATTTGTTTAATGTAAAGCAGTTTAATAAAATTTGTAAATGACTTCATTCGTGTATTATTGAAAATTTTAAACCTGAGTGTACCCAGCCATAGGCCTCACCCATGCACCATTACATAATAAAGTAAAGTAGATTACAAAATTACAATTATTGTCTCCTGAAAATTTAGCAGTGGTTTACCGGAGTCTAGCAACATGTGGCATGTAACCTGGTGGAAGTGTTGCCGCACGTCGCTGGCAGTCACGACGCAACAGGTGGTCGGAGTGGTAGTGTGGTGATTCCTCTTGTTTATGGGTAAGTCTATGCACGTAATACTAGTATTTTTTTTGTGTTATCTTCTTATGGCATTGTGTGTTCGGTAGTCAAGGGGAGATGGTGTGTTTGTTGGAATTACAAAAAAAAAAATGGCGGGGAATTACAAGTATACATCACCTAACGGATGTAAACAAACGCTTGCTCAGAATGTGTGGTGTTAATTTGGCTCTTTTTTTTCATTTAATTTCTTTATTATGCACCCTAATACCCATCCCGTGGGCGGTGGTGTAAAGGGTTACAGAGGCACATAATCGGTTCAGGAACTGAATCCTCTAGTTTGTTTAGCTAAGCAAATAACAATCTTTTGTGTGCCTCTGTAATCCTTTACACCACCGCCCACGGGATGGGTATGGGGTGCATAATAAAGACAACAGTTACACAATTATTAATGTTATATATACATGTGCACATACATGTACATTTATACATACACATACATATTCAATCACCCACACAAATATACTCAATAAACTTTGTATCACAAGAGGCTCACAACAGTCACTATACAAGGCACTTTACATCTAGGATGAGTCGCACAGTTACTAGTCTTGCTGCACACCCACCCAACTGGGCGGCAGCTATACAGTCATGTGCATGCATTACCTACAGTAAGCAAATTTTGGATACTTTGCTAAGATTTCGGGCAGCACATCATTATGAATGAAGTACTTACACATTTCTTGGACACTATTGATGGTGTTTTGCCCTCAAAGTCCATTTGTTGTTTATATATATATATATATATATATATATATATATATATATATATATATATATATAAGTATATAGTATTTATATAAAGTATATAGTATTTATATAAAAAGAATGTTCATTCCTACATTCTTGTAAAGCCACTAGCATGCGTAGCGTTTCAGGCAGATCTTAAATGATAATTTTCCCAGGAATAGGACCCGCCAAATTGTTTAACAACAACCAGGTACCTATTAACTGCTGGGTGAACAGAGACTACAGTTAAGGATTGGCGCCCAGTCAATCCTCCCCGGCCAGGAGACGAAGCCAAGCGAAAGCGCTTGTGAAGGGCCAGACGAGCCCTTTACCACTGCACCACGAGGACTTCTAGTTATTGTTATATAACTAACTACAATATAAGTATATTGTAGTTAGTTATATACATTGTGACTATGAAATAATTTGCGTCAGAAGTCAAGCATTTTAACAAACCCGTTATCCACGTTTTGTTTAGAGTTCATAATATATATGAACTATTGGAAGTGATAATATATATGAACTATTGGAAGTGTTCCGTTTGTAAACAATGTCTGGAGGTTGCATGCTTGGAGCAGCCTATGGTGGGTACAGCATTGGTCGTAAGGAAAAGGTTGCATCCTCGTATGTCAGGTCAGATTCTTCACACGGAGGAGCAGCAGCATATTCGTATATGAGTGTAGCACTCCCTATGTGAGGTGGGGGCTCATATGTGGGAGCCAATATTAATAAAATTGAGGAGAGAGCATACTTAAATAGAGTTATGGGGGCAATATTCCGCAAAATAGTACAGCATCCTTATATAGGTGGGAAGCGTCCTCAAATATGGGGGAAGGGGCGATATTTCTCGTATAAGGGAGCGGTATTCAGCATATTAGGAAGCGACATTCCTCATGGGGAATGGCATTGTTCACATACGGATGTCGGCGTTACTTGTGCGTGAGGTAAGGTAAGGTAATTAAGTAGAAAGTATGCAGCATAGTATTTGATAGGGATGTGAAGCAGACTAAGACCTGGGATATGAGAACTGAGTGAAGAAACGATGTTCAGCCTCCAACGACCGTCGGGGATCGAACTCCGACCATGCAACACGAGAGGCCATCAATGTACCAACCAGACAAAGTGAAGTTTTTTCAAATTATCGGCTTGCATTCAATATATTTAATATTTGACATGATTTATCACGACCAGAAGTGACATTTTGCGTGATATTTCTCTCAATAATTTTAATGTCTGGTCCGGCGCCATAATTTCTGCTGCAAAAATGGAGTAATTATTTAGCAGTTTGGCACAGTATATCAGGTAATTACAAATTACAATATACTCAGTGCCCACTTTTGTTTTCGATGCATTTGTAAAATGTTTCTCACGGGTATAATCTTGTATTTTTGGGTTGTGATAGTGTCATTGTAATGGCTTCAAGCATGTTGACTTAATTTCGCATTTAGTTGCATATCAGTGAGGACTGTAGACAGAGTTTATCGAGTTCTGGTTTTTACCTTTAATTTTGTGGCTGGAGGTTCATGTCAGATAAAGAAGCACGTTCCAAATTGTTAGATTTTATGCAAATAAAGTATTATCAGCTCTCTTAAAGCTGCTAGTCACAAGAGCGTCACTAACTTTAATGATCGTGTATTTTTTGTCCTCGCTATGGTCAAGGTTGAACAAAAAATGTTCACACGCCAGCATCCGCCCAGTGACGCTGAGTCACTGGTACTTGGTACCCAGTTGTGACGTCGGTGGATGAGGCAGACATCCGCTCGTCAAATGTAGTGCCCTGGCAGTGAAGGGATGTTCTCTTGAGTTCTTATAACGTACACAATAAGGGGGAGTAACACGCACGAACCCAAACCGCCACGTTGATGTAATGCCGAATATTTAAAGAATCAACACCTGTTTATGAAGCGCAATGACACGGCGAGCAAAAGCCTAACCCGGACTTGCTGTTTTATAGGCACTTGAAAAACGTAAGCAAATTTTGTTTAACTATATACCGCGACTTGGCGTTGTGCTAATGGTGAATACATTGGAGGTCCAACGTTAAGGAATTTTTTATTGTCATGTCATGTATGTTCAAACAGACAGTGACATGGGGGTCGAGTGTTCAACTGCTAATTAAACTTTGTGTTAGAGCAGTTTTATAATTATATTCATGGAAACAGACGAAAATATATATATGTCCCGTAGTATCATTATTAAATAGAATCCCCTTTGCTACAGAAAATAAGCCAATTACAAACTTGTAGCCGTCATCTGTAGCCTAACTTCGTCCAGGGACGAAGTTAGCTGTCATCCGCTATACTCGGGAGGTAAGTTAGTTATTAGTCGTCAGTTATGACACCTAGGGACGAAGTTAGCTGTCGGTCATGAGCTGTGGTGCCCAGGTGAGAAGAATTAATTGTCAATTGTTCTGTTTCTTTTAGTATAGTTTATCAATATCTTAGTTTTGTATTTGATTATTTGGGTTTCTGCATCTTAGTTGTCACAGTGTACATGAGAAGCTGCATATTTCTTGCCTAGTAAGAACTCGATTAAAGGCCTTCGGAACAGCTAGGATACAGAATTTACACAAGATAATACAGCATTGGTATTATTTACAAATAACATAACCCTTTCCAAGTGTGTGCTGCAAGATTCCACTTACAGCTTGACAAAAATAAATACGTGGTTACAAAAAATGGTCAAATGAAAAACAGGGATATTTGGAGATTGTATTTTTAGGCACGTAAGCCTTATGACGTCTTAAATGTTTGTTTATGCAGCTATTCTCTGGCGGTGACTCGCAGTTCCTCCCGACTTCAAAGGATATGCAAGTGAGGTTGAAATTGCCGATTCAAAACCCCGGATCTCATTTTTCAAGTCGTAGAAACGTCAAGTGTTCCGCTGAAGAATATATGTTTCAGAATAAATAAAAATTCTCGTAATAATGTTATCCGGTTTGTATTATATATTGGATGCCTTGCAGACGTTATTTTCATTGCCGATTCTTTTAAGTTATTTAGAATAAAATGACTGACAGAAAAGGCAGATAGCCAGAGGTTTAGCATCACTGAATAACTGCACGTCCCAGCAATGTTGTCAGAGTCTTACACATATAATAATAATAATGGGTGGCTAAATCAATTTCCTTATCATGCTGGCCCAAACCATTCAGTGAACGGAGGTTGCACAAAACACACACTCGCAGCACGAGTTCAGGGATGGCAAATCGTGCCTCACAGGTTTAATAGAATTCTATGACTAAGCATTAAGGAAGAAAGAGAAGGGGGGTGGGCGGATTGTATTTTCCTTGAGATGGAGATATATATTTATAGACCGTTACTGATGTGCTTTAATGGGCTGTCGTGTTGCTCTGCTGGCTACGGTTTCCCATTTTCTTTAGTGTTCTCTTGGTTTGTTTATATGGGAATGTTTGTGAGCCAGGAATTTGAGTACTTGAGCTGTATGTGCTCAGGGTTTGGTTCCGTGCGCCCTCTGTGAGTACTACTCTTGTATGTTCAGGGTTCTCTTCGCTGCGGTGAATCGCGAATACGTCACTTTCGCGAGCCGCTTCCACGTTTGAGTATGACAAATTTTGGCCTTCTGTAACGCATACGAGCGAAAAGCGACGTTCTTAGTAGTTGCTGTTGTTATGGATTCAGCTACTCGGAACAACTTCCAAGTAGCACGGGCTATGGTGAGCCCGCAACTTACCTGGCACAGGAGCGGGGCAAGTAGCACGGGCTATGGTGAGCCCGTAACGTGCCTGGCACAGGAGCGGGGTAAGTAGCACGGGCTATGGTGAGCCCGTAACTTACCTGGCATAGGAGCGGGGCAAGTAGCACCGGCTATGGTGAGCCCGTAGTGGACTTACCTGGCACAGGAGCGGTGCTGTTTCTTTGTAGGATAGGCTGAAACTGCTCAATCTGCACTTTCCACAGGTGTTTTAAGGGCGCGCCGAGGTGTTTCGAAGGCTGCTCGTTCCCCCCGTTCTAGTCTTGGGGTTTCAGACCCACACATGGATTATA